ATATATATATTAATGTTAGAAAGTATATTTAAGTTTTTATAAATTTCTCCTGATTATTGTCTCCTGATTATTATGTGAGTTTAGATGATCGTAATTTCAAAAACATATATAACTAAACCATGCAACTAAGTTTTTTTTATATTTATTTTTACAAATGCATATATTATATATATATATTTTCTTTTTGCACTATGCATTAAAATTACAAATTTTTTTCTATTTGTACATCAAGGTCAAGGTCACTGGTGCGGTGTCCCTCAATGTAAATAATTATCTTTCTATAAATTACTTATAAATCGTATATTTTCAATATAAATATCTTTTTAGGATGTTATTATAAAGAAAACGTAAGCTTTACTTAAATGTTATTAAGATTAGCAGAAGAAAAACAAATTCGCAGTGAATCTTGAGTATATGAATACATTTATTACCCGCATCACTGTATCTATACTGATAATGGTGTTACTCGCGTAGTCTTCCGAGTCGTCGAGCTTCAAGACAATTCTCTCCGCGTAGATCTCGGAATCATAATGAATTGCTAGGTTCCCTAAACCCACACTCTCCCACTTATTGTCATCCGGCCATCTCGCGAATACAGTGGCACGTTTCTCGATTATAGGAAGCATCTCCTGATCGTCCTCTTCATCCTCCTCATCCTCGTCATCCTCTTCTTCTTCTTCATTCACATCATGATCTCGGTTATGTTCTTCACTGTCCTCTGCTTGTCCGATGCATCTTTCACCTGTTCGGATGTAAATTAATGTGATGTGATTTTATGCTCAAAAATTCAAGTAAAGCATATGCATAGATTTAATTAGTGTGTATATATATCATTGAAAAGCATGCGATCGTATTTATAGAGACATTCATAGCAAATTTTATGAATGTCGTGAGACTCAAATAACGGCTATAGGTATAATCGAACTGTTCTCAAGTATAATTTGAAAAAGCAGACACATGTGCAAGATGCATAATAGTTTATTGTGATTGATAAAGTTTACAGTGAATTTCATGTAAAACAAATGATTGCAGTTTAATATAGCGTAAGTAATGATGTTACAAAATCAATTAGTGTTATAAAATCCATAAAATGTCATGTAATCAAATATCTTATAATCAAATAACATTATTTCGTTTAACTTTAGAAACGTATGCATTTTCAAATGCTTAGCGTTGTACAGATAGCAGCAACGAATAGAATCAGCGAACAAGTGTGCAACCTGATAATCTCGTAAGTTAACTACTACCTTCAGCAATTCTCTTCTCGCGCAATTCTTGCTGAATGTTATCGACATGTGCCTTGAACTGCCGGGCCAAATCGAGCGATTTAAATTTAACCGCTAACTGTTCGGCGCAGGGCTCCTGCTCGGCATAGTTCATGCCGGCCCACATCCAAGCCTGGTTTGATGTAGAAAGCGGATGGAACTCTACGTCGGAAGTGATCAGGAAGTTGCAGACGACCTTGTGCACTTGCTCCCGACGCAGCAGCAACCGATAGCTGCCATGATCTACATGATGCAGGATCTTCATTTCGCCGATGCCACGCTCTTTCCACTCCTTCGTGGCATTGTCATATCTGTACAACTTGGCTCTTTGGCAGAACACTGTGAATGAAAAAACAGCTTAGAAAACAGAATTCGAATAGCCTTGGGAGTGAATGGCGAATACTGCAGTCTCTTCTTCAAGCATTCTTAAGTTAACAAGTTAAATCTTATCATTATTTGTATTTACTTAATAAGCTAAACAATTTTTAAAAGTAATGATGAAAGAACCTCTTATTGCAAGTTTGTTCGATAATGATGATATATTGGATAACAATTTAATATTAATATTAATTAATAGTTTATTAACTCAATAGACCAGAAATTCATGAAATGCTACAGATGGTCTGACTATATATGAATTTCTGACCAATATTTCCCAAGTCACAAGAAATTTGATTCTGGTTTGTTAAAACATCACGCTTCATTCCGGTAGCGCAAAAAAAACTATTCTCACAATTATTTACACAAAAATCTGCATACGCAATCGTTAGTGATCAAACTTGTACTGAACGTGATCGTTAGACTTCTTACTACATGCCACGCCATCATAAAAATCTAGTGTTGCTACATTAGCAGAAAAAAATTTAGTGCATAAACTTTTTGTTCATAATACCACATATACATATATTAATATTAATTTAAATTAATTTAATATAAACAATTTACTACGTTAATATAAACATTAACTACGTTGATAAATATAGAATTCTTCAAACAAATCTTCTTGTATCAAGCTGAAAGATTTCAATTGAAAATAATGATAAACAAAAATATTTAGGATACCTTTTTCCTCATCTTCTTCGCCAGTTCGGACTTCAATGGTATCCGGTAAAGGTACAATAGGTTCAAAGTGAGGATCGTGCTCCTGTTCGTTATCTACTTCGCCATCGTCTTCATCATTTTCTTCCTTTTGCTCTTCGCGCAATGTGTTTCGAATCGTCGTCGAGCTATTCAGAGATGTAGCGGATTTTGAACCGAACACCGATGATCCCGCACCAGCGAACGTGAAGTTGGGATCTGAAAGAAATATCAATTCAAAAGTTAAAATACTGAAAAGATTTTATACAAAAAAAATGGAGGAAACATTTAGAAAAGTTGATGCTTTTAATAAGGGGTAGACAAGTTATCGCACTGGAAAATAATTTCAGATATCCGGTTTATATTTGCTTGAGTAGTAATAGCTTTTCTGACTACGTGATGTTATAATACCGATTTTAAAGGCCTCCGGTTGCACCGCCGTCGCAGCAAGCGCCGAAAACGACATGTTATTTCCTGATAAGAAACTGGGACCATCCTCATTCTTCTGAACGTCATCCAATGGTTTCGTACCGAAAACAGCCACCGTCGCACCAAAAACATTCGTCGCATTTGTTGCCGTACTAAAAACGTTCGTTGCGGTTGCCGCCGTCGTCCCACCAAAGATATTTGTCGTTACCGGTGCCGTCGTCCTATCGAAAAAATTAGTCGTCGCCACCGTTGTCCCGCCAAAGATGTTTGTCGTTGGTGACGCTGTTGTTCCGCCGAACAAGTTCGTCGTTGTTGCAGTCGTTCCGCCGAAGATGTTTGTCGTCGTTGTAGAATCACTGAACGGCAAAGCACTATTGCTACCAAGCGTCATTTTAGAGAAAGGCGTGGAATTGTCGCCGAATATCGATTTAGAGGACTGATTGGATGTGATTGTCGACGTAGTAATTACGGTCGATGTTTTCGGAACAAAATTTGTCGTAGTTGCTACGGTAGCAATAGAAGAAGAAATGGAATTGTTACCACTGTCCTTATTAAAGATTGACATTTTCGGTGATGTTTTTGAGGCGCCGCCGAAGATGTTCGTGTCGGAATTGAAAGAAAAAGTAGACGGGTTGAATATGGATGCCGTCGATGTCGCTTGACCAAATATCGGATTTTGCCCAACTGTGTCAGTCGCGTTAAAAGTAGTTGTCTGCGTCGTTTGAGCATTTGAAGGACTACAGATCTTGAGATTATCAAGCGAGACACTCGACGTCGTCGTCGCTGTTGTCTTCTCCATCGTTTCGTTAGTACCGAACTGAGGATTCATGCCGAATGAAAAAGTCGTAGTTTTCTTGTCGTTAAACAACTTCAGATCGCCAGTACCGAAGCTCATTGTAGAACTGTCGATGTTGGGAGTAGCCGAAGACTTAAACGTCGCGGTGGATGTCGCGAAAGAGAATCCATTCTTCACAGACGCAGATTGCGTTACGTTCTGAGTAATCTCACTGGTACTCTCAGAACCGCTTAACGAACTTGTACTCAAGCTTGAGATGTCTTTCGATTGCGTTGTCACCTTTTTTTCTTCCGGTATAAACTTCGTCGTGTCTTGCCCAGCGGTATCCGGATATAGCACTATGCTCGGTTTCCTACAACCTCTGCAACCGGGGCAGTTTTCCTTTTGCTTGTAAGAATAAAAGTTTGCTGGTAGCTGCAACTTTAAGGCGGCTGCCTTCTCTTCCGGAGTGACCTTCGCCTCGTAAACAATCTCGATCTCTTTGACCGGTGAGCTGATCGTTTTTGTCGGCGTTTTCGTTATGGGTTTACTCATCTTCTCACTACTACTGACAGTGGCGGCCAGTTTAATGTTTTTCCTGGCGTCATCAATCGCTTTTTTGAAATCTGCTGCGATCTCGGACGTCTTAAACCGGCAGGCGAATTGCATGTACTCAATCTCGCCTTCGCTGTAATCCGCAGTGGTCCACAGCCATGTTTTCTCGTCCTTCGGTGTGAACTCCAGCTCATTGGATAGTATATGGTTCAGACATAACTTTAATACGTGATCCCGACGCATGATCAGCCGCAGCTTCCCAGTCTCTTTGTGACACAGCAGCTTAATATCACCCAATCCACGTTCCTTCCATTCCTTCACCGTGGTGTCGAACCTAAAGAGTTTCGCTCGATGACTATAGAGCATTTCTTCATCCTCCTCGCCGGTTTTCACATCGACCTTGTCCGGCAATGGTATAACTGGCGAGAAGTGAACATCTTCACTCTCAACCACCTCGTCTTCGCTGGTCTCGCCACCGCCGCCGCCAGGCGATTTAGCCGGTGACTTGGCCGTAAAATTAAAGCCGAAAGCGGGTAAGTTAGCGGGTGAGCCAAAAGTAAACGGCGAATCGCCTGTGTTTAATGTGATGCTGCTTTTCATCGGCATACCGAACATGAAATTGGTGCCTGTAGTTTCTTCGGATTTAGATGGAGTCATCACGCTCTCACTTGTGCTCTTATCCTGTGACATCCGGAAGCTGAAACCAGAGACAGTCGTTTCCTTGGCGGACATCTGGAAGATATTAGCCTGCTGCGGTTTAGGCGGTTGCGACGGGTCCTTGGGACTATTGCAGGCAACGCAGTAGGCGTTTGTCCCGGAATTAACAATGTAGCACCCTGTGCAGGTCCAGGAACCGGCGGGTAATTTAAATAACTCTGACAACGGTGATTTGATGGAATCAATGGGCTTACTAGCAACTGCAGAGACGTTCTTATTACTAGTCGCAGAAGATGACGGAGCTTCGCAGGCTACGCATTTCATATCCGTGAAATTATTTCTAGTGTAACAACTAGTGCATTCCCAAGAACCAGTTGGTGGTTTAAATAATTCCGACAACGGTGGCTTCGCTTCCGTGACCTTTTGATTGTTGTTCTCGCCCGATATTTGAACTTTCTTTTCGAGTGCCTTCGCGACTTCGTTCGGACTACTGCCTTTAGCTAGCTTCTGCTGGCAGCTCGACACGGCATTGTAGAACTGTGACGCAAATTCCGACGTGTTAAAGGTAGCAGCGTGTAACGTCCAAGTCTTACCGGGTTCTTTGACGTTTCCAGGAACAGTCCAATTAACAACTGTAGTGCCATTCTTGTATGTAAACGCCATATCCGACGGAATTCCATGACTATAAATCTTGGAGCTTCCGTCATCCGTCAGTAACAAGCGAAGCTTGCCGGATTTTACGTTCAATAATAGCATCATTGATCCTGTACCCTTATTTTTCCACTGCATGGCATTTGTACCGTTGACAGATTGACATTGAAGACTCGCTGTTCCGACAAATAACTTGTGCTCATTTTCAGTCTGTGGTCGTATTTCATCGTTAGACGATCCCTGCTTAATGGTACCAGGTGGTGGCAAACGAGGTCTCCTCAAGGTTGTAGAATTCTGACCGGTTGTTGCGGATGAGGCAAACATGGGCGACTCATTGGAAACTGTGCTCACAACAGACGACTGCGAATTTGTTGTTGAAGTCGTAGCGAGGATAAAGCTCGCAGATGGCATCGAGACGGTGCTTGTTGTAGTTGTGGTCGTGATTTTCGTTTCGGATTTATTGGTTGATTTGGTGGTAAACGAAAATCCGCTGAATGGACTGACTTTCGCCAGTTCATCGATTTTCTTAGAGTCATCTGCTTTCGTGTCGCTGATTTCTTGAATAATAGGTTTAGAACTGAAGGAAAATCCTCCTAATGTTGTTGTGCCAGATTTCGATTTGTCAGAAAAAGTCACTTCGATTGTTGAGCTTATCTTATCTTGTTGTGTTAATTGTGATTTCTGAGTCTTGAACGAGTCTTTGTCGCTAGAAGAAGCAGTGAAAACTTTCTCACTGATCTTGTACGCCTTTTCCGGAGATGTTGCAGATAGACTAAATCTGGCCCGATCGAAAGCCTCCTTGAACGTCATCGCTTCCTCTGCGGTTTTGAATCTGATGCAAAATTTCTCCAGCTTCACTTCCTCATCGGCGAAATCGTTAGCAACCCAAAACCAAGCCTTGTTGTTGTTCGTCATTGGACTCAACTCCATGTCGGGCCTCAGCATGTGATTCGCGCAGATTTTCAGGATCTGATCGCGACGCATCAGCAGGCGCACTTTACCTTCTGTGTTGCGCAGTAGTTTCACGTCACCGACGCCGCGTTCTTTCCATTCTTTATCAACAAAGCGAAACAGTTTTGCCCGGCCGCAATACAGAGTATCCTCGTTTTCTTCACCAGTGGTGACTTTCACCTTTGCAGGCAATGGTATGACGGGTACGAAGTTCGGTATCGGATCATGCTCCTGCTCGCACGCCTCCGTGGATGTATTCGGCGATTCAATCGACTCATAGGTATTGTCGGTTTTGTCATGTATCTTACTACTATTAGTAACATTATTCTGAACGTTTTGTAAAGTACCACTGTTAGTTGTATGAGTCACAGTGACAATAGACGGTGATGTTGTTGGATTGACATAGATCGGCGGCACATTGATATTGGCCAGAGTTACATAAGTAGAGGTTGGTGGCAAGTTAACAGTGGTCGGTATAGTGGCTTGCAGGGGCATGGGAATCTGATAGCAATGCGGTACATTGGAAGATGACGATTTTGTTGTAGTCATTGTCATCGTCGTAATAGGCGTAGTAGAGAAAGTGACAGCTACTCCACCTCCTAATCGATATTGCGGTGGTATGGTGACACTCAGGGTCGGTTGAGTGGATGGCACCGTGGTTGGTAGCGTATCGGATGTCGTAATGACCACATTCACAGGAAGTGCTTTATTCACCGGTGCATCTTTGATAATCGTCGTTGTCGTCGTCGTAGTTGTCGCCGTCGTTGTTGTAGCTTCGGGCTTAGTTCGTGATGGAGTTTCGATTTTCTGCTTCAACGACATTTGTAATGATGAATTTGTCGCAGTTGCCGACATGAGATCGGGCAGCTGCGAAGAAAGCGTAGATGCGAAGAGGCCTTGTTGCAGCGGATTATCCGGCACTTTTGTCTGATATAGCATGGGCATCGGATAAACGGTGTGTGGGTAAAGGGACGATATAGCTGCCTGAGTGTTTGGATCGGGGAATGGTAATCCTCCCTGATAATACTGAAATGCGGTCGCTGCTGAAGGATACATCAGCGACGAATAAGGGTGTCGAGCATGCTGTGGTGTAAATATGTTACCGGAAATCGAAGACGCCGGCCCGGTCGGTTGATTCTGATAGTTCAAATCGACATACTCGTCATCGTCAAGGACATAGAAGTCTTCAGGATCAATAACAGGATTTACACTTTGTTGTTGCTGTACACGCTGCTGCTGCTGCTGCTGCTGCTGCTGTTGATGCTTTTGATTTTCTTTGCGCGATTCCACTACCTCCTTCGTCAAATTGTCCATTTTCTCGGTCAACGTTTTCATTTGTATCATCATGTTTTTTATCTGCTCCGTCATTTCCTGTATTTCGTTGTCCCGGGACTGTATAATTTGACGTATTTGAGCGTCAAGGCGCTCTGGGCTCGGACGTGCCTCCGTGCGATTTTTTGATAGATTCAAGTAATCCTGCAATCTGCACGGTGTACTAGCATGTTTTGGCGTCCGATGAATATTCCTCTGAGGAGTGCTTAGCATGTTCGAACTAGTCAGCGTCGTCAACATCGGCAACGTCGGATTCGTGACCGCCTGATCTACAGCGCTGTGAGTAGGCGAATAACTCTCGTCGGATATACCATCGATATCGTTCCTACTCAAATCACCCCTTCCTAGATCCGGATCTATTCTCTTCAACTCATTCTCAATATCAGTGATGTGAGTACCGAGCTCGGAGTTCAGTGGGTGTTTAGGATTCGTGCCCGGACTACGAAGTCGGTCGAGCGTAAGATAAAAGCAGTTTCTCGCCTTCGACAGCATTATGATGTGTTGCGATCGCATTTCTGACGTTAGACTTTCGCGGGGAGTGGAATCCACTATCTCGTCCGCAAAAATTTTGTAAATCTGCGCCAGCTGAAATGACGCCTCCGGGCATTTAAGCGCCTGCAGCGCGTCGATTGCCTGCTCATACTGTTTATCGCGTACGAGTCGTTGGGCCAATAGCAACTTGCCTTCTTCAAGCGCATTCGTCAGCTCGAAATTGTTCATTTCTTTGCCCTGATAATTGAACAATTTCGATGGAGACATACGTAATGTTTGATTATTTTGTAGCCTCTCTAACAGCGGTAGAGCGGCGGTCCAGTACAGCTCGGAGCGTGCCTCCCATCTAGGGATGTAGCCATTCGCCTCATCCTTCTCCTTCATCATTTTCGCGCGATAATGAAACATGCGTGCCAAATGTACCAATAACACCGGATGCATGCCGTGGTTGCCAATGCAGCGAATTATTTCCAAACCCTGTTGCAATTCTTGTCGTAATTCGCCGATGTCACCGTCTACATCCTCTCGCTTGAAGTACATCTTGTATGCCGCCGACCACCATTTATCTTGATTACTTGTAGACAGCGTCGTGGTAAGATCGATAGGCAATGTCGGTAGTTTTTCTGGATTCACAAAGCTACCAAGTTGCTGCTCCTCTAGAACAGCGGACGAGCAGAGTATCGCTGCGTTGAGGAACGCATCGATATCGATGAGACAGAGGCTGTCAGGTGCTGCCTGATTCGTATTGAATACCGAAAACTGTAACGCTGGGAATATGCGCGAGGTTTGATCTGGGTACGGAGCATCTTTGTTCTGAGGCCGATTCTCCATCCCAAGCCAGATTTGATGGTGCAATGAATCAGGCCACACTTCCTGTGCGACTACAAACAAAGAATTAGTATCTCTATTGCTTTTTTTTACATTGTTTTCTACTGTGTGTGACGGTATATTTATTCTGTACATTGTTGCAGCTATTGCAAAATCAAACTCAGAATTAGAATTCTAAGTGTAATTTATTATTATTAATTGTAATAATTATGCTTCTTATACAATAACAAAAACAAATGCAATATAATACTTGTTTATGTATTATGTAAATCAATAAACTACAAAATAGGTATAAAATTCTTGACTATCCTTGAGTATTTTAATAATCTAAAAACAGAAGGATTAATAAACGTACTTTGACTATAAGTCCTTAACTGATTTGCGGTACACATGCGTAAAGGTGGATCAGGAGCTGAATGATGATGGCAAAAAAATGAATTCCTTATATGATCAAGGTGTATTCGGGTTACAAAAATTCTCTGCAAAAGAAAAGCCACATTGAATATATATCAAGATTGCGTTTCATTATCAAGATTTGTGCGAAGCACGATTCGTACCTGATAAATCCGTTCTCTCCAAAGTCCTGTGCAAAATTTATCAATTCTATCCATCAGCTTTTTCGTGTCATCTCTAGCATAATTTTGAAGAATATAACCTATTAAAATAAAGAATATAAAACCGTTAGTAAAAGTTAGTAGACACTTAAAAATATAGTAATTCTTATATATTAGGTGTACAAAAAAGTTCTGAGCTTTAGATTTCATACAACCGAAATAACAATTTATGTTTACTGAAATCTTGTATAAAAATTCTTTGAGAATCCCCAGAGAAAGAGATTTCCTAGATATATTTTTATTTAAAGTTCCAGATAAGAATTTTTTAATATAACTTTAAAATAAATTTAAATATGAGTAATTTAAATATGCAAATATATACCATACATTCATATATATAATGTACATGAGCCGAATAAGGCCTAATTTATTTTATTTTTTTTAAATTTTATTTATGGGGATATTGAAATAAATTAAGTGAGAATCAAATCTTCATTTCATTTACTTTCAAGAGAAAAATATATTGTTTATATAGGATATGTGTAAATGAACAAAAAAAATTTTGTTAAATTCTGACATTGGGCCTTATTACATGCATATGAATATAATAAGGTCCAAATCAAAAGTAAATTAAAAATAACAAAGAAAGTAAATATTATTTTTCATATTTTCCATGTTTCTCCTATTAAATATTATGTTATTTACAGGATAATTTGTTTCACATACCAGCTTGGCAACATCGATACGCTGCTTCCATTGCCCACATATTAAATTGATTTTTAAATTCATCCTCTAATTGTATGCGCATACGGTTTTCCAATGGAGCCACGTGTAATGCAGTTAATAACAGCGGTGAGCACAGTCTTCCTGCTTCGTTCCAACTGCCTTGTTCGCGTTTCGTTTTGCGTAACAGCAAACACGCCAAGTGGAAGTGCAACTGGCCCCACATGTGCGTAAACAAATGCTCCGTAAAGGTGTGTTGTTTAGAAAAGTTTTTTGACTTCATCTCGTTCAGATTTTGGTCAAAACTGTATCATAATATTTGTTTCATAAATATATTATAAAAATAAACATATGAAACAGATAAACACAATTACTTTATTTCTAAAATATGTAAGGTATATTCTATAGATTTTATATCTGAAGAGCAACAATTTTATTTACCTTATTTATAATTTATTTACATTATTTCACCTATTACCACGTTAGAAAATACAATTTAGTTTATAGAGACATATCGATATACTTACTTAAATACTGCCTGAGCTGCTTCTTGAATGCTTTTCTTCGTTTCACCTCCTTGCTCCTTAAGACATAGTCCCGCATACTTATCAGATACAGATATATAGAACAATGAGAAAGACCAGTCAAGAGATTTAGTCTCTTTATATTTTGTTAATAATTCGTACAGCAGCTGATACCACACAATGCTGTCCTTATGAGGGACAGTTGCCTCTACACTGATGGCGTGCTCATAAGCTTTATCCAATCTATGCTCCGACATGTAATAATTTAACAATTTGATGCGAAGTTGCACATCAGTCGGTCTCGCAGCCAATTCAGCTAGAAAATTTCACTTGTTAATTCTCCGTTCTTTTATTATACTATTTCACAATAATAATAATAATAATTACTTACATGCGATAAGTGCCTCAAGATCCTCACTATTGTTGTTTGGTTTCTCTATAGTCAAAAGTTTTTCTTTTAATTGAAAAACTACTGGATTATGTGGAAATAGTTTGTCAGCTCTCTCTACCCAATACTTCAGTTTAATAACATCCATTCCTATATCCATGTCAACCAGTAATTCACATACTAAAAAAAAAAAAAGAAAGTTTAAATGTTACATTGATATAAAGTGTTGAAAGGACAATGAGAAGTAAATGTAAGGGCGTCGACTTCTTACCTTTCAAGACCAGATCATCTTGCCTCCCTTCGAGTTCGAGGGAAACTTTGTATTCATTAAAAGCTGCTTCCTTTTGACCAAGAGCTTCATAAGCCTGACCCAACAACTTGTGTGCACTGGCAGAACTATCTCGTATTTCTAAGTAATTAAATACATATCTTTTTGTGGATTCATAATCACCCACTTGATAATACAGTTTGGCAACATTGTAACAACGAAGATTTTTCTGTAAAAAGAATTACAAATATCAACAAGTATTAGATTCCACAGTCCAAACTAAAGTATAAAATATAAACATGTTTATGATATCGTTAATTTAAAATACATTTAAAAATGTATATTCGTCATTTAATACTAAATTACATTATAATTAATACATTTTCATATCCAGGTAATCTAGATGATCGCATTATATAAAGATTATTATAAACATGATTAAAATTATTAATGAATTAAATATTTTGTTAAGTATGATAATTTTTTATATCTTATTCCACTTATATTAGATTAGAAGAAAAGAGAAATAAGACAAAGGAGGATGTTAAAAAGAGACTGATTTTTGCCCAAAAAGGTGTAAATTAGGTATATATACTCTGAATATATAGAAAACATTTCGAAATTTAAGTTATAATTTTTTTCATTGTAACAAAAATTTAAAACAATATAAAAATGAATAGAGTAGGCTCACAAAAATTTAATTTAAAAAATGGCAATTATTAAGCATCTAGAGGACAAGTTTGCGCCTAACAACCGTATCACGATAAACATGAACGAATAACGGCTGCAGTCAACTGGATAAGATATCTGAATTCATCGCCATCAGCATTTTGCTGAAAAAATTTTCATATTTTATGTTACGTATCAATATTTTTAAGGATTGCCCATATTTTACTATTATGAAGTTTTTTGAAAAATATTTTAGACTTGTTCAGATTCTATAAGTTTTTTTCGGAAATTATAGAACGAGAAATCTTAGAATATTTCAAAATTAAATAAAGAATTCCAGAAAAGATAAACGTACATACTTTATCAGCGTTTTGACAAGTATTCTGATTTATATTAAGAGATTTTCTAAAAAGTTGCAGTTATATAAAAAACGGAAATTAAGAAATCTGAATTAGAAATTTTGAAAAAATATAAGAATTCAAAGAAAACTTTTCGTCAAGATATCGACAGTGCGAGAATAATTTCCCGCGAAAATTCGCCATGGCAAGTACGTCGCGCCCTCGTCTGGCACGATGACTCAAAGGTTTCCGTCCGGTGACATTGACCTTGTTTACACCGAGCACTTAATACGCGCACTAACCAATAATTTTCTATTAAATCATTTTAATTTCGGCGATGCGTATAAATGTATACACGATATGGATATTTAATTAATCCAGATGCATATGGCGTATTAACTTAGTATACCATTCTTTAAATGTATTGCTGAAATTAAGATAATTTAATAGAAAGTAAGTACTAATATTAAGTGCTCGGTGTAAACTAGAATATTCGGACGGCTGAGCGGTCGTCGCTCGGTGTATCGAAACGTACCGAAAATATTCTCATCATTGGTATTGATATCGGTTATAATTTGCAAATAGAGACAAGAAAAGAAAACCCATGAAGCTGCAAATGTCAGGAGAAAGAGAATGTTCCCGGGTGCAACGGTAACCTTACCTCGTTCTCGTTTCGCAACTTGCAAAACACGTTCTGCACGTGGCGGTCAACGTCTTTCTTCGAGCGGAACATGATGCTGCCGGTTGAACCGGCCCTGCGATCTGCGACACTTTCGTTGTATCACTCAATCGACACCAATCGTTTTCACAATTTGCGTACTTTCACATCGGCTCATCGCGAAAATTCATTCGCAACGTATCTCTTTCAAACGGTCTCCCGTCGACCGTCGAATCTTGCGCCGCCAACAGTAACGATCGTTAACACAAATTTCCCCCAGACAGGGTTTAGGGCAGTGTTGTTGTAGCGTTTTTCATTGGCTGCGTTCAGCAGAACGTTTGTTTTGCAACTGTTGGAAGTTTCCTTCGCGCTAATTGGATCATACTTTTAGATCTAGAAGAATGGTCCTATCTCAGCAGACAATCATAAAACGGTTGAGCTGCTGAACGCAGCCAATGAGAGCAAAGGAATTTTAGCTCTTATTGTTTTGATTGGTCAAATTTCAATCTTTCAATCTTCAATCTCAATCTTTAATGCCAATATTACATGCGTCCGTTTTTGTCGTATCTTCTATCCGATCTGTCATGTCACTACTAAAGAAATTGAAGTACATACAATGGTAGAGGAGGTTGTCAATCCCAGCGTTAGAACCAAAGTAAGAACATTGAATGGTATCTCGTTTTTGACGTAAATTCAGTGGTATAATTCAGTCTTAAATAAATCTGTCCTGGCGGTCCTCCGAACAAAATAAGGGCGGTAAAGAGATTTTATATTAGTGAAGTGGTCAACATTTGGTAATTATGAATGAGACGAGCCTCCTCACCGATTTGGATGAAATTAGGCTCATTCAACGCGTTTTAGCACGAAATGAACGAACCTGGTAGAAAAAAGTGTCGCTCTGCCCCGCGAACCGAGATATGAACCGTTAAAGTTAACGACTATTGAGGTTAGGAAATCTGTCACAGCCACGAAATACTGCGACGCAAGCATGCGCTGCGATCACAAATTCGCTACTTTAAAACAAATTCTGTTTTAAAAACAAATTCACAACTTTAAAAATAAATTCACTGCTTTATAAACAAATTCATTGTTTAAGAAGACAAATTTACTACTTTAGCTCATATCATAACAATTCACATGGCTTAAGGACATGTCCAAGAATGGTTGCGTTCAGCAGAGAAAACCACTCACTGAACGCTTCCTGAGCAAAAAAGAGATTAATCTATGATTAATATGTTTATTTGTTATAATTCATAATGTAGAATAACTTGTCATGTACATAACCTTATGGCCCAAACACGGCATTAGAGAAATAATAAATAGTAATAAATAAGTAAGGAATATGAAATTAAAGATTATCTATTATAGACAAGTTATTCTATCCTTATATAAGTCTTATCTAATCTTATATAAGTTATAAGATATCCAAAAATAAATTGATATCAAATATTATGATACAGCAAATAGATATCCATAAAAAAAATATTGCGAAAATTGCAAAATAGTAAAGGACTCTTTTCGTCTCAGTTTTTTTATTAGGAATAACATTATATGATTAGTGGGCATTATTTTAGTTACACTCTGTATATTCTGACGCCGCCAAGCTTCCGAAAAAAAAAAGTACTTTGGCGCCGCCAGGCTCCACCAGGGCTCAACTATGCCAATGCTTAAATTGTTGCATCTTCCAGAGCAAGACAACTCGACCACGTCCGGTATATTTATGGAATGTACTAGATGTGCAGAAATGGCTGAGACGACACTGCAGCGACTATTATCAGCTATACTATGAACTGTTTTTGCATGTAAGTGTTTTTTACTTTGTCATAAGTATGTTTTTCAAATTTTACTTTTAATCCTACTTCTTCATAGAGGCCTGTTCTTTTTAGCTGAACTTTTGCACTAGTTCATCCTCCTTTCTTGTCTCTCTAGGAGAGAAGAAGAGGAAGAAAAATGAACTGGTGCAAAAGTTTAGCCAAAAAGAACAGGCCTTAGATTTACCGCGTTAACTCTAGTTGTTATCTTCGTCGTACGTGCATCATTTAGGTTCGGTCTGTTTTTATTGTAAGATTCATATAAAGAAATTTGAAATATTTTCTAAACATAAAAAATGATATTGAAATTCTAAAAATTCAGAATTTTTTTATATATGTATAATTATAAAATATTGTAAGATTCGTATAAATTAAAGAATCAGAAATTTTCTAAAAAGTTATAAAATTATACAGAAATTACAAACTTTGAAAAATTATATGAAAGATTTCCGTCAGATTTATTCGCGAGGCAAAGCGACACTTTTTCTGCCAGATTCTTTCGTTTCATGCACAAACGCATATTGAGTATATTTTTATCAAAATTGGAGGTAGAGAGGAGTCTTCTTAACATTTACCTTAAAATTTTTTTTATTAATAAAAATATATATATTTAGCATAAAATTAAAATCTTCTCTATCTTTTAAGCACGACATTACAGGAAAGACATTGTTAAGAATAAATGAGAATAGCTTGAGGAGGATTGGTATCGATAATGAACAGCATAGGATGGACATTTGGAGGGAAATTATTAAATTGCATCTTAAAACAGATATGTTAGAGCTTAAGGATATTGAGCGACGTGATAATATGATGAACCTTGATCGAAATATATAAAACCTATTGTTACACAGATATATTTTTAAATATATATTATTATTTACGTTATGTGTATATATGAAAATATGTATGTAAATGTATATGCACACATATATGAAAAATTTATTTATTATATACTTATTTTAGGAACATCTTTGCATCAAAGCATACAATTAATTTATATAAGAATAAAACATTGAATCTGATATTATTTATTATTTATTATTATTTTTATTTATTTAATAGAATTTATTTTATAAAAACAAAATTTGTTGATTTTAATATAATGGATACAAAAGTAGACTATTTCGATAAAAATGCAAATCTTTTTCACAAGGAACTCGAAATATGTCGTTTATGTGGAGAAAAGTCTTCAGATTATATTCCAATATTTGAAGATGAAGATAACTATATTCCTGAAAAAATAAGTAGATGTTTACCAATCATTGTAAGTTAAAAAGTTGCGTGATATTTTGTTCTTTTTAAACTTTTAAATTTATATATTATATGTATATAATGTATGAATAGTAATATTATTTTTTCTTATTTTTAGATTTTTCCGAATGACAATTTACCTTCCAATGTATGCAGACGTTGTTTAAATTATTTAAATATTAGTTGTAAACTGATTCTTAGTGCAGTAGCAGTAGATGATATTCTACGAATTCAATTAGATCAGAAGCAGAAAGATGCTATCTTTACAGGTGAAGATCGTAGCATTGTAACATCTTGTGAAGAGTCTAAAATATCTGTACCAATAAATATTAAGCAATCGTCATTAAAGGAACTAAAAAAGCGAGCTATTGTCGGTCCAGTCGAATGTAATTTATGCGACTTGAATTTTCAAGATGTAGATACATTTGATAACCATATGGAACAATGTCATTTTTTAAAATGGAAATGTAATCTCTGCGATGACAGCTTTGATGAATCTAATAAGCTGATAGTACATAAGACATTGAGACATAACAGTAATATTTCAATATGCAGTAGCTGTGAACATATTATTGATCAGAATAATAAACGGAAGATTATCAATGAGAATGATCAGACTAATGAGAGGAAGATTATTATAGGTAAGAATATCCAGAATGATCAGAATATTAAACAGAAGATTATAGATGAGAAGAATATTCAAAGTAATCGGGAAACAGATCAAAAGATTATTAATAATTACAATAAGCAAGATTTTACAAAAGATATCGAAATAGCAGCATCAGTTAATTCAGCGATTATAGAAATAAACAGCGAAAATAATCTGATGCAGGCCTCAATAAAGCAAATTGATAATAGATTCGATTCAGATATAAATGAAATAAAAAACTGTAAAAAATTTATAGATATGACAAATGTCCAAAATGATGAACAAAGTAATGAACAAGAGTTTACAATCGGGAAGAATGTTCAGAATTATCAGAATATTGAACAGGAGATTATAGATGAGAAGAATATTCAAAATAATCGAGAAACAGAGCAAGAGACTATTAATAAAATTAGTTATGAAAAGCAAGATATCACTTTTACAAAAGATATCGAAACAGCAGCATCAATTAAATTAGCAATAGATACTGAAATCGATATTACAGAAAAAGAAAGTGAAAACGATCTGATGCAAGTCTCGATAAAGCAAATTGATAATAGATTCAACTCAGATATGGATGAAACAAAAAATCGTAAAAAATTTTTAATACAACTTGAAACGTTCAAAAAGCCAAGAGAACTATCGTTTTGTAAAATTTGCAAGATCTACTTCGCGAACGAACGATATTTTAATATCCATAATAAGATACACGAGGAAAAAACTATGACTTGTATTACGTGCTCTACAGAACATTCGTCTGGATATGATTTATTTCTGCATAAACGTAAAAGGCACAATATGTATAAAAAGGTACAGTTAAAGTATATGTGTAATAATTGTGGAAAATTTTTTACACATAGCTGGACTTGGAATGAACATAATGAAGATAAGTGTTCCAAAATGACAAAGTATTGTAAATATTGCAACGCAGTATTCTCGACAGATCTTAAATTGACACATCATTTACGGGTAACTTTGTTAAAAGTTTATATATAAAAAAAGGATTGATTATATCATATCCTTAAGTATTTTCAGAAACACAAATCCGAGATGTTCAATGATCCGACTGTGACTGTATACAAATGCGTCGCCTGTCCCAAAGTATACGTCGACAAAGAATTTTATGAGAAACATAGAAATGTGTGTATATATGTATATTATAAGCATCTAAAAACAAAAATGGTTACAAATTTCATAAATTACTTGTAGATACATGATCCAGAGTGTTGGGATAAATTTCGGTGTACAGAATGCAATCGACCATTCAGAGACAAATTTCGTTTACAGGAACATCAATTGGTTCATTGGAATATTAAGCCTTATCAATGCAATATCTGCGAACGTTCTTTCTTCCGCCTGCATAACATGGTAAGTCTGTCGAAAACTTGTTACAAAATGCAGTATAAATCTATCTGGTCGGATATTCTTCAAGGAAGGAAGACTAATGTTCGTTTCTACCAATGTAGATCAACTTTAATTTCGATTTAACTTACTCTTTATCCTTTTTTAATGCTTAGAATTAGAAAAAGATGAAGAGTTGATTGAACCAAGATTAAAATAAAACTATATTGATAGAAACAGGTATAAGGGTCTCTTTCATCAACCTTGGTTAAGCTAACTGACGATTACATGGGGCTCATTTAGGTCCAGTTCCACAACTCACGGTTAACTCTTAACCGAGGTTCAACTTATTCATTGTCTTTTTCTAATTCTAGAATTGAAAAGAGATGAGAAACAAGTTAAACTTCGTTTAAGAGTTAACCGTGAGTTGTGGAACTGGGCCTAAATAATTACTGCTAGTTGACTGTCAGCATTGAAAATCTATAGTTTCTGTTATGTATACTATGGCTGCGTACCATTTAATACCCAGTTCAGACTGAATACAGCATGCGTCAAGCAGCGGAGCATCAACCAAGTAAGGCGATATTTTTTACGGTATTGTAAATATCGCCTCGTTTAACTTATTAAAACGAACATGGTCTCGTGAAATTCCTGTCTTCTATTAATTTTCAATATATGTAAATTGGACTTAAAAATTCTTTAATCTTACCTGAAATTTTGAACAAAAATACCTGAAAAATCTGGAGGTATTCACAGGAAATTATTTAACAAAATTTTAGTAAACATCCTGCAAATGTTACATACAACATGTCTTATTATTGTTGAGTGAAATGATAATATTATAATATTGATAAAACGTTACTGGAACGCTTTCCTTCTACTTGAGAAGCATTCGGCTAGATACATTATTATTTTAACATCACAAAATATTTTAACATCATTATAATGTAACTTTCAGAAAAGACATCGCAAAATTCACGTTGGGCATGAGTGTAATCGCTGCAATGCAGTTTTTAAAAATAGGCTGGACTTAACGAAACATGTGCAAGAGATTCACGATTTGAAGCCATCCAATAAATTTTCTACAAAAATAAATTACATTTGCAGATTCTGCGGCAAGAAGCTCAACACGTATAAATCGTTAACAAATCACGAAAGAATTCACACCGGAGAAATGCCGTATAGTTGTTCAATATGTTACAAGTCCTTTCGGTAAGACATATTTATCTTAATCACACGAATTTATTTTGTTATATATTTTTACGATTTGTGTATCTTTTATTTTTACCCTTTATTCTATTTTGATTCTATTGAATTTTCTTCAGGACTTATAATTCCAAATGGACTCATGTACAACAACATCAGAACGGAACCTTTGTGTGTGAATATTGTGAAAAATGTTTCAGGTAAAATTATTTCTAGTAAACACCAACTAACAGTAACATTACAATGTCATACAGAATAGAGAGGTCCTCGGATCTCTCTATACCAATCAACAGGCTTGAAAAGTTTGTCGTACGACAAAAACGCACAAATGAAATAACATCCATATGTGTATACATGAGAGTATGCGTAGTACGTGATATTTTTTGTGTTAACAGTTGTAAACGGAATTTAATTAAGCACATTTCAACGCACGTGCCAGTGCAAGCTCGCCAGCATCATGCGTGCAATATATGTGGGAAGAAGTTTTTGAGGAAATCTCGACTTACTATCCACAACCGTATTCATAATGAAATACGGTCTTTTTAATGCGATGTGTGCTTGTTAAGTTTCATACAAAAAGGCGATATGAAACGGCACAAATGCGGCACTTCAGGAAAGAGAAACTTGCAAAAAGTACCTAAAGTTTAGACTCGAGAGATTACTAAATTTTATTCTTCTGCAAATATAAAAATAATAATTAAATAATAGATTTTATATTATATAAGTAATAAATAAAAACGAATGGCATATATGAAGAATAGAAGATCGATTATATGTAACAGCAATTTTAATTTAATTCTTTTGAATATGTAATTCACAAGAGAACTAAATGAAAATTTGAAAAGTAAATTATTTTAACACGTTAAATGCCACGCTGATATTACATGACTTGCTCGAAGCGTCAACATGTATCATATGATACATATAATAATATTTACGCATACATTTTATATGTATAAATAAAACTATTTTTATATGTTCTATATTTTCTTCACGCATTAATTTCTTCACACTATTGTAATAATGATGGTAAAATTGAAAAATTTAGAAATATTGACATTTATTCGAATTATATGTTTCCATTAATCTTGACATCGCCGGTACCTTCCATGGCACTACCGATCAACTGAGTGCCGGGTCACCGGTGACCCCCCATGGCATTCAACGTGTTAAGTAATCCATTTCTTGTAATATAAATATTATATAATAAATTCCATTTCTTATAATCTATTTCGATGTCGACATCACATTTTCCTATTTTACATTTACTTATTGATTTGTTCGATTGTGTTCTTGGCTGTTCAAATATTTGGCGGTTTTAAAACATTAGTATGGAATACCCTACATTAAGGATTCTCTAGTAAGAGACAATGCGTTGGATGTGTCACTATTCGAGGATCAGAAAGAATTGCGGCGCGACCTAAAATTATATTCTATTAAACTAAATAATGTAAATGATATTTTAATATAATATAGATATTATTTATGTAAATTCCTACTATTATATTATAATCTTATCATTACATGCACTTAACACCATTAAAGAGATTATAATAAAGGCGTAAAACATATATTAACATTTTAAACAAACTATATTATACATATGAAAGTTGTGTTCATAACATTTTGTTTTTATTGATCAACACATTTTAATATATTTTTTATTTTATTTATTATTTTCATTGTTATATACAAAAATTTTTTAAATAATAAAAATCCAAGTTTTTTTGTATAAGTACATGAAGTATTAAAACGTATTCAAAGTTTTATTGAGATGCACTGATTAGTTTATAATATAAAAATATTTTGTTTATTTTTTTACGGGACAACTTAATATCTGCATCTCAATATAACTTTACAAAAATAATCTTGAATTCATAAAGTATTTATATTAAAACATTATCTTTCTAATTGTTGAATTCTTTTTAAACTTTTTTTATCTTGATTCATTATTGTTATATTTGGACTGATATTGTCATGAGATGAATCAGCCACCACGTCATTTGCTGGATTCACACTGCATCCGAGTTTCGTCGTACGACGAAAATCGGATGCAGTGTGAATCTAGCAATAGGCCGGAATCCATAGTCCGTTCTGATAGTGGCTGTTGGTGGCTCCCTCCTTTCTGGACGGATGAGTTCTGGACAAATTGATCGCCATAATAGCGCTGTAATCGTGAATCGGACTGCGGCCCTAGAAGTTACTATAATCTAGTTTATTTCCCCAATGACGCGTGATGCGCGCGTCAAATGACGTGCCCATGAGTTCTTATCTTAATGCCTAGTTCAGACTGGACGCAGCAAGGCAGTATTTTTTTTTTTTTTTTACACCATTGTAAATATCACCCCGCTGATTGGTTGCTGCTTCCGCTGCTTAACGCTTGCATATGAATGCACCTTTAATCTGACAACTCTGCCGGCTGTACCGACAGGTAGAGTCACGTTTCTATTTCGTATTGTATAAACGTGGGGTCTGGAACTTCCGCTTAAGATCCTTTTGTGTGAGATTTTTGATGAAAAGATGGTAATATAGCTTTGTTTATAATTATTGTTTGTAATTCTCTCATCGTATGTTTCGCGCTTATGAAATTTTCTTCGCCGTCGCTTAGGCCAAACATACGTTGCGTTTTGGTAACAAATTTCGCGAAGGATCGGCATCCTTTGCTTAAAGCTATACTTCATCTCTAAAGTGAGCCATGTGGCTACCACTTTAATTATCTCGAAGATATAACGAGCGTTAAATTTAAACTTTTTAATTTAATTCTAGAAACGCGAATCAGCTAAGCACGGTTGCGATTTATCGTAAAAATCAACGAAGCGAAGACTAGGGCGAATTATAACCTAACGTAATGTCCCATTTGTATTACATGATACATATGTAATGTGAATAGTGAACTTTTATTAGATTCATATTTATTAGACTACTTAGAGGAAAAGGAAGAACATATTTATTTTTCCTTTGTTTTGTTCTTTTATTCCTTTGTTATTACACCAAAATTGGATTGCATAAAGCGTTCAGAATCATCATATGGGTGCATCCGGACGATGATTCTGAGCAGCCCAGCATTTAAAAATATTACAAAATTTTAATAATTAAAAATATTCGAACTTATTTTCTGAAAAGCTTTATTTTTTTAAATTGTATCGTGAGCAATTCTATATTATTTATATAATTGATCTGTTGTCGCAAATGATTTATTATCATCATTTTTCTAATACACTGTTTATATCGATATGTATCTAATTCGTTTTTGTTTATTTGCCAGACTTGCAAACGCAGAAATGGTGGACGTGCCAAGCATGGTCGCGGCCATGTGAATCCAGTCCGCTGCACCAACTGCGCTCGTTGCGTCCCCAAGGATAAAGCTATCAAGAAATTCGTCATTCGTAATATCGTCGAAGCTGCTGCTGTCAGGGACATAACAGAGGCCAGCTTCTATCAATCTTATCAGCTGCCTAAATTGTATGCTAAGCTTCATTATTGTGTCTCCTGTGCCATTCACTCTAAAGTGGTGCGGAACAGATCAAAGGCAGATCGTCGTATAAGAACGCCTCCTGTCCGCAACTTCCCGAGGGTAATTGTTTTTATAAAGATTTGTAGTTCATTTATTCAGATAAATACGTAAACATCTGCCAATCGATACTCTTAACGTAGAATTTAAGTTTTTTTGAGAGTACAATGAAAGTTTTAATTCTCTAAATATGTATTATAGTAGTGAAATATATGCAATACAGTGGAATAATATTTTATATATTTTCAAATGTATATTTGAGGTTATATGTGAAATTATCACTAAATGTAAATTTTTTTTAAGTTATAAAATCTTTGCAGTGTACATATTACATGATGCTTTTTGTTTCCAGGATCTGCGTCAGGGTCAACAGAACAGGAAATAATTTTATTATGTAAAGTTAATTTCGATAATAAATAAAAATTCATAAAACCAGAGCAATGTTATATTATTATTGCGAAAGAAAGTGTCAATAAAATACAATATTTTATCGTCAATTAATGCAAAGTTGGATAATAAGCTGTTTAGTGCTATTACATGAATAAACTCGGAATTGTTAAGTTCATTAGAGCGAGTATAGATAAGATTTATAATACATGATGTGCACACATCTACACGCACACACACACACACATACATACGTACATACATATCAGCCAATATGATCTTAAAGTCTTGAATTTAAGCCTTGACTTAAAAATCCTGAATCAAAGTCTTGATCTTAAAAAGTGAAATTTCAAATCTGAATTCTACCAATGAGTTACTTACATTTCATAAAAATACTTGCATCTGACTTTAGCAAGAAGAGTTTCTAGTAATTATTTAAAATTAATGTACAAGTAATAATTTTTCATGTACACGCACATATACATATATAATATTGTATGTGTATACATACATATATATATATATACATATGTGTGTATGTGTGTAAATATATATATAATATATGGAAAATCATTTGTTTGCCTCTTCCATTGCTTTTTTTAGCGTTTTTTCAAATATTTTCTTAGAGTCGCAGAATCCCTGTTTTGTTTTACCAAACGAATTTGGCCCAGCTGATGTTGGTGTCTCACGCCCGATATTCCGCATCCTCATTCTCGCTTCTGCCGGCATCTCTTCTGGTTCTTCATCATCGTCCGCGTTGAACACCGAGGCTACCGTCGGTTTTTGTACTGTTGTTGTCTTCGCAGTTGACTTCTGCCACAAAAAGTTTCTTATGCAAGAGGCAGGATTTCACAACAAAAATTTATGTAGCAAAACAAAGCATCAAAGTCAGTGCGAATGTTTTACTTACAGAGAAAGAGCCTAGTTTAATTTGAATTCCTTTCTTCTGTTCATTGCCAGTCTTTTTCCCAAAACCAAACGCCAACTTCTGTTTCTTTGCATCCAACTGATCGCAATCGTCTGTACTGCTACGTTCCTCGGTTCTGAGCGGAGAACGGTCCCTACCTCTGTCATCCTCTCTCCTGTCCTCGGTTCTGTAGACACTTGACCCTGACAACGTCAAACACTGGCAAAGTTCAGATCAAGTTAAACAAAGTTGACTTTTTAACCGGAAATCTTTAAGCGGTTATGTTTAATGCAGTCCTATAAATTCAACAATTAGAAATTAGCTGTATAAAGTTATGAAGTAAAATTAAAATTATGTAATTCTGTAAAATTGTATATTACAATAATTAGTACATATGTAAACACATACAATTATTTTGTACAAATACTTGAAAAAATTATGATGTAAGTAAAAAGAAATCGCACTTATAGTACAAATTACGTTCTCTATGTTGTGAGCCATACAGAAGTAATGTCGATTTCTCTCGAATTAATTTTTACAACTGGGGTTCTGAGTTGGTAGTCGAAAGTTTCAAGCAGTCCAGTGGCTTTCTACAATAGACCATTATCTAAGGCTGTATTCTAAAATTTACTGCCAGTACTGAAAATTATAGTGCACGTGACTTAAAACTGACAGTAAATTTTGGGACACAGCCTAAGTTTTAAGTCTTAAGCCATAAGAAATTGACTAATCACAGTTGAATGTGAGAAGAATAATTGACTATGACTGGTCAATTTTTTACAGTTTAAGATTTAAAGCTTATAGGTAAGTCCGGATCTACAATAGGTGTTTTAAGCCTTAGGCCATAAGAAATTAACATTACAGTTGAATGCGATGAGAATAATTGACTATGATTAAAAAATATATGTAAAATCGAGTGCTAACACGAGTCAAACACTAGTTCTTATGTGCTAATGATTAAATTTCGAGGAGGTAACTATTTAATGTAATCGTGAGACAGAGTCCTCGAAATGACGGATAATTTTTTTGTTATCAAATCCGAAATATCATAAAAAAAATTTCAAACACATAATTAGCACATTATTAAAAAATGATTACCCGATCGATCTGAGATCTTTAATACTATTAATGTACGATTAAAAGTTTTAATTCACAAAGGCACGAAGCAACAGACTAAATCAAAAGATGAAATTAATAGATTGTGCTTCATAGTTCGTGCTTCCTTACATCCCTAAAATTTCTGACGAATTTAAAAGAATTAACAATACCTTTAATACTACATTACACTAGTATAAACGGACAGATTGATTAAGGTACAAAAAGACATCTTCCCACGAGAAAAAAAAATGTTTATAAAATTTAGTGCAAATCCTGTGATGCATCATATGTCGAGCAGACAGGAAGGAAACTAAAAACTAGAGTGATGGAACATCGTAAACGAGAAAGTTGTTTTATAAAAAAGATATGTAGTTGCATATTACAAATTGCATATTTTTTTTTTAAAGCGATTATGTATTTTCATTATACCAGTGGATTAGTCTCATAATTCTGTGCATAAAAGTGTTAAGGTACAGTTATCAAAATGAGACCTTAAAAAATTAATCCGCATGCAAATGACGCTGCCGAAGTCCCCATATTCGAAATAGCTTCTATCTTTAATCCTTCATAACATGACTAAAAAGTAAGGTATTGAAATAAAAAAAATTCATTTTAGAGGGGATGAACAATACATTCATGACTTCTAATCGAAATTTCAAGATAACGTTCACCTTCTTTATAAAAAAAAATGTAAAATATCACTCTATAAAAAAAAACATTTTTTACATATTAAATCTCAATTATCTTGGAAATCTGATGAGCTAGAATTTTTTCGCTTGTGGCATCGTTTTCAGCATCCAAAAATCTGTAAGAGACACGTAGTCCGGTCCAAAGTAATTGAAAAAAAATTTTTTTTGTAAACTAGTGTAATACTCGAGAATTCTATCGATAATTATAAAATCACAGGCGGGATGAAATTATTTCTAATATTATGTGATTTTTCCAATCACATATTGATTTGGAACAATCTGTTACATGATTTACTTGTCTTAATTACATGATTTTGTTATATAACTTTGTGACATGATTCTTTCCAGTAGGGAAGCCTTAAGCTTTAAGGAATTGGCCAAACATAATCAACTATTCTTTTCACATTCGACTGTGATTGATCAATTTCATAAGGCTTAAGGCTTATTACACCTATTGTGTTTGCGGACTTATAGGCTTTTTATAATAAGCTGTTACTTAAAGTTTTAAGTCTAAGGCCCGATTGTTTCACTTTTCGGTAAATTTTACCTGTTGGGTAAGTAGCAAGATTATCCAATCACATGCGCGGATTGCCAGATTTACCTAACAGGTAAAATTTACCAAAAGGTGGAACAACTGGCTCTTAAACAGTAAGAAATAAACCAGTCACAGTCGAATGTGAAAAGAATAATCGATTATGATTGGCCAATTTCTTATAGCTTAAAGCTGATTCTGACAATGAATCGGTAATTGGTAGTCCTAAGTCTTATCGGTGAAGTTGGCCAACAGCCAACTACCGACTCATTGTAGAACCCCCATTTACCTATATAAAAAAAAAGACTGCTTGTCGATTCAATAGTTTATGCATGGAAATAATCTGATGGTGAATTCGGATCACTCGCACTACGCTGAATCAGTGCATATTAAAAGTACGCTTTATATAAAATATCTCAATGCAGTGAGATACAATATAATCAACTTTGATAATGAAATGATACATGTATATATTTTGTTAAATAACGTTACAATATCGTTAATAGATAATTAATTGTTTAAAATATTTATATACTTTTACACTTAACTTTGCTAATTTCATGTACAGCAGCTTTCAGTATACATTGATTTAGCGTAGGGCAAATGATCGAATTCGCTAAAAGTGTCTTCGTCGGATTGTAATGAGCGTTATCTACATTCACTGGCAGCGTAATAGATAAAATGAACAAAACCTTTTCTATAATCGTCTCCGGAATTTCTCCTGGACATTTTGTCAATATCCTGCGGATACAGCTCGAGCCAGATATATACCACTTTCGCAGATTATACCATATGCGAGGTAACCTAAAAATCGTTACTCATCTGCATTATTGCCAACATGAAGAATTGAGATCTATCCCTGTATCAGTGTTGCCAGGTATCAGCAAGAACTTAAAGCTGGAAACACAATAGACACAGGCAATAGGCACAGGCAACAGGGAATAACGAGCCGTCCAATCAGAGCTCTGGAGTATAAGTTCGATATTATATCCCAGAGCTGTGATTGGACTGCTCGTTATTCCCTGTT